CTGTTATTAACATCCCATCTTACAGAAAAGAAGACTGCTGGGGGGGTTGAATGTGAGTTAAGTGACTTTACAAAGGTCACTGGGCAGTGCGGGTGGAGCTGGGGCTCCCGCTCAGGTTCTCTGAAAGCAGACAGCCTCTCTGCCTCTCTGCTTCTAGAAGGTCACCAGGCAACGGGTCCCTGCAGTGACCCTGGGGAAGAAACGACTGAGTCCCAATTTGATGATGAGTCAGGCCCTTGGGCGGAGTGCCCCTGGGCTGCTTCATGCACCTGGACAGGTTGCTTTGAGACTCTCTTCTAACCTCCACAGTGGACCTGTCCCAGGCCCCCATAACCCTGCCTAAAATGCACCTCTAAGCAGTCCTAACAGTTTGCTGTTCAGGTGTGTCTGTGTCTGGAATGGGCCCCTGAGCATTTATGGCCTGCAATGAATTCCTGAATGGTGCCATGCCTGGAATGCACCCCTAAACAGTCCTGTGCCTGGAATGCACCCTAAACAGTCCTGTGCCTGGAATGTACCCCTAAACGGTCCCGTGCCTGGAATGTACCCCTAAACAGTCCCATGCCTGTAATATACCCATAAACAGTCCTGTGCCTGGAATGTACCCCTGAATAGTCCTGTGCCTGGAATGCACCCCTGAACAGTCCCGTGCCTGGAATGTACCCCTAAACAGTCCCGTGCCTGGAATGTACCCCTAAACAGTCCCGTGCCTGGAATGTACCCCTAAACAGTCCCGTGCCTGGAATGCACCCCTAAACAGTCCCGTGCCTGGAATGTACCCCTAAACAGTCCCGTGCCTGGAATGTACCCCTAAACAGTCCCGTGCCTGGAATGCACCCCTAAACAGTCCCGTGACTGGAATGTACCCCTAAACAGTCCCGTGCCTGGAATGCACCCATAAACAGTCCCATTCCTGGAATGCACCCCTAAACAGTCCCGTGCCTGGAATGCACCCGAAAACAGTCCCGTGCCTGGAATGCACCCCTAAACAGTCCCGTGCCTGGAATGTACCCCTAAACAGTCCCGTGGCTGGAATGTACCCCTAAACAGTCCCGTGCCTGTAATATACCCCTAAACAGTCCCGTGCCTGGAATGTACCCCTGAATAGTCCCGTTCCTGGAATGTACTCCTAAACAGTTTTGTGCCTGTAATATACCCCTAAACAGTCCTGTGCCTGGAATGTTCCCCTAAACAGTCCTGTGCCTGGAATGCACCCCTAAACAGTCCCGTGCCTGGAATGCACCCCTAAACAGTCCCGTGCCTGGAATGTACCCCTAAACAGTCCCGTGCCTGGAATGTACCCCTAAACAGTCCCGTGCCTGGAATGTACCCCTAAACAGTCCCGTGCCTGGAATGCACCCCTAAACAGTCCCGTGCCTGGAATGCACCCCTAAACAGTCCCGTGCCTGGAATGTACCCCTAAACAGTCCCGTGCCTGGAATGTACCCCTAAACAGTCCCGTGCCTGGAATGCACCCCTAAACAGTCCCGTGCCTGGAATGTACCCCTAAACAGTCCCGTGCCTGGAATGTACCCCTAAACAGTCCCGTGCCTGGAATGCACCCCTAAACAGTCCCGTGCCTGGAATGTACCCCTAAACAGTCCCGTGCCTGGAATGTACCCCTAAACAGTCCCGTGCCTGGAATGCACCCCTAAACAGTCCCGTGACTGGAATGTACCCCTAAACAGTCCCGTGCCTGGAATGCACCCATAAACAGTCCCATTCCTGGAATGCACCCCTAAACAGTCCCGTGCCTGGAATGCACCCGAAAACAGTCCCGTGCCTGGAATGCACCCCTAAACAGTCCCGTGCCTGGAATGTACCCCTAAACAGTCCCGTGGCTGGAATGTACCCCTAAACAGTCCCGTGCCTGTAATATACCCCTAAACAGTCCCGTGCCTGGAATGTACCCCTGAATAGTCCCGTTCCTGGAATGTACTCCTAAACAGTTTTGTGCCTGTAATATACCCCTAAACAGTCCTGTGCCTGGAATGTTCCCCTAAACAGTCCTGTGCCTGGAATGCACCCCTAAACAGTCCTGTGCCTGGAATGCACCCCTAAACAGTCCCATGCCTGTAATATACCCATAAACAGTCCTGTGCCTGGAATGTACCCCTGAATAGTCCCACTCCTGGAATGTACCCCTGAATATTCCCATTCCTGGAATGTACCCCTGAATATTCCCACTACTGGAATGTACCCCTAAACAGTCCTGTGCCTGTAATATACCCCTAAACAGTTCTGTGCCTGGAATGCACCCCTGAATAGTCCCGCTCCTGGAATGTATCCCTAAACAGTCCTGTGCCTGGAATGTACCCCTGAATAGTCCTGTGCCTGGAATGCACCCCTAAACAGTCCTGTTCCTGGAATGCACCCCTGAATAGACCCGTTCCTGGAATGCACCCCTGAATAGTCCTGGAATGTACTCCTAAACAGTCCCGTGCCTGTAATATACCCCTAAACAGTCCTGTGCCTGGAATGTACCCCTGAATAGTCCCGTTCCTGGAATGTACCCCTAAACAGTCCTGTGCCTGGAATGTACCCCTAAACAGTCCCATGCCTGTAATATACCCCTAAACAGTCCTGTGCCTGGAATGCACCCCTGAAGAGTCCCGTTCCTGGAATGTGCCCCTAAACAGTCCTGTGCCTGGAATGTACCCCTAAACAGTCCCATGCCTGCAATGTACCATAAACAGTCCCATGCCTGGAACGCACCCATAAATAGTCCTGTGCTTCTGTTCTCTCCCCTGCAACCAAATGTCCACCTCCTCCTGCAGACACCCCCGCAGCCCTAGCTCTGCTGCGCTGAGCTCTCGGTGCTGGGTCTCCCTTTTATCTCTTGGGTGGCTCCTTTGGCCTTGGAGTGTAACAGACCATCCAGCAGCTGGCTTCAGGGCAGTGGTGACAGGTCTGACCCTGCATTCAGTGCTTCCTCGGGGGGTTCATTGGGGAAGGGAGAGAAAAAGCATCATCCCAAAGGGCCAATGTTTCAGGGGCTGATGATCCTGCAGGCCTCTGTGCCTCTGGTTGCTTCACTGGGCTCCGAGGAGCTGCTTCCTTCTTAGGTTGGGGCAGTCACCTGGGAGGCCTAAAAAGGCAGGCCTCCCCAAGACAGTTGGGATGGGAATGCCTTGTGCCACCTGCTTGGTCCCTCGGCCCTCTGATTCCTGCTACTGGCCAAAGCAGGTTACTGGGACTGACCATGGGGACCAAGGGACCCAGTAGCACACACCCCTGAGACAAGAGCCACCCAGGGCCAGGCCTGCGCGCCAGCTGTGCAGCAGGGGGACTGGCCCTGTTTTGAATGTGTCCATCTGCCCGGCTCTGCTCTGGGGTCGTCCCTGTTTCTAACTCGATCAGCTCAAGTGGCTGCTGGGTGGTCCCATCTGACTTCCCATAGTATCTGAGATGTGCACAATCACGGATTTCTTCTGAACAGGCTTATGTGGCATAATTTAATGCTCTCATGTTTACATTGTTTTGCTACATGGCTTGCCATGTGTTTGGGTGTATGGGTGTATGGTTTCAAGTCAATGCTCTTTGGAAGCTTGTGATGTCTCTGCTTGATTTCTCAGGAAGAATGATTTCAGACATCTGGCTGCTGGAGTCAGCAATGGTTCTGCCAAAACATCTGAGTTGGAAGTTTACTGGTCTGGGGGGCCTTCCTCCTGCATGAGCTTCCCAACTCAGGGGGCATTAGCCCACCACTCACGTGGTACTGTCTCTCAGCTGCAGTTGGAAACAGAGGTCCGAGATTGTCTGGAAACTGAAAAGTAGCCTACCTGCTAAGAGGAGTTCTTTCTAGGAAACGTAGAGAAGATGATAAAATCTGGTAGCTACATGTCTTTTTTTAGGTACCATCTTGAATGAAGCACTTCCAGTGTTTTTGAATTTGGTTCTTTTCCTTTGGTCCTCAGAATGTTGATCAAAGTGGAAGATTCTCTCCTTCTGGTCTCTCTAAGGATTTCCATCATTGCCTCAGCTGTGTTGCTAAGGAGACTTTATGGCTAGTGTGATCTTTCTTCCTCTTCTCTTTCCCTCTTCCCCTCCCTCTTCCCCTCCCTCTTCCCCTCCCTCCCTCCCTCCCTCCCTCCCTCCCTCCCTCCCTCCCTCCCTCCCTCCTTCCTTCCTTCCTTCCTTCCTTCCTTCCTTCCTTCCTTCCTTCCTTCCTTCCTTCCTTCCTCTTTTCTTTTCTTCTACCCATTTATATGACAAGAATCAAACAGCATTCAAGTTGCCCCTTCCTCAAACCTCTGGATAGCCAATGCTGGGGCTGCTGTCGGCTGAGTGGGTCATTTCCCGTGAGAGCCTGCATTGCAAGAGCAGCTGGTAGCAAGGGTGCAGCCTCTTGCAGTGAAGGCAGTATGGGCATCAGTGCAGATGCAGGCGAAGGCCAGCCAGGTGGAAGTCAAGGGTCACCTGTTCTGTACCTGTGATTGTGACCCAGTCTTCTTCCATCCGAACGAAGGTTATATCAGCATCATCAAGCCAGTTACTCCTGGGCTGCAGCTGTGTCTATCCTGCTAGGAAGCAGGGAGGTGAGGTCCAACTGGGTTGAAGAAACTGGAATTTTATTCACCAGTGTCCTGTCTGTCATTGATTGAAGCTGAGTGAGCTCCTGCAGTCGGGACAGATGCCTGAGACAGAGTCTGGGTGTTACCACTCAGTAGCTGGGGTCATCTGTAGGACGTGTAGGGTAAGTGTGGTGCCGGCAACATCCATTTGCTGCAGGTCCATCTTTGCCTCAGGTCACTGGGGCCCCCTGGCCAGAGCATCTCCCAGAATGTCTTGCCCTATGTGTCAGATGTTCTGCTCTCTATGATGAGAGCCCCATCTCTGATCCCACTGAACTATGAGAGGCAGGAACCTGCTGAGCTTTTTCTGTTCCCTTCCCTGCTGCTCAAGGGTTGGACCCCAGCCTTTGTTCTCTCCCTAGCAGTGGCTGGGTTCAGAACCACCTGTAGCTAATTTCCTGATTCTGACTTGAGCTGGAGCTCTCATAGGCTCTTCAAAGGATGGGTGGTACGGTTTGGCTGTGTCCCCACCCACATCTCATCTTGAATTATAGTTCCCATAATGCTCGTGTGTTGTGGGAGGAACCAGGTGGAGATAATTGAATCATGGGGAGTTCTCACGAGAGCTGATGGTTTCATAAGGGGCTTCCTCCTTCCCTTGGCACTTCTCCTTGCTGCCACCATTGAAGAAGGACGTATTTGCTTCCTCTTCCACCATGATTGAAAGTTTCCTGAGACCCCCCCCAGCCATGCTGAACTGTGAGTCAATTAACCCTCTTTCCTCTATAAAGTACCCAGTCTCCGGTATGTCTTTATTAGCAGCGTGAGAATAGAGTTATACAATGGAAGATAAGTAACAAATTTACTTCGAGTTTTTTTTTTCTTAAAAATGAATGGGTTATGACATTAAGGGTTATGATATAGCTACAATAATCAAAACTGTGAGGGATTGGTGGAGGGATAGACATGTAGTTCCATGGAATAAAATAGAAAACCCAGAAACAGGCCTGCACAAATATGCCCAGCTAATACTTAAAGGTGCAAAGGCAATCCAAAGGAAGAAGGGCTGCCTTTTAAACAAACGGTGTTGGAGATGGGCAAAAATATAAACCTCAACTTCGACCTCAGACATTATGTAAAATTAACCCCAAATGGATCACAGACTCGCATTTAAAATGTGAAGCCACTGAACTTTTAGGGAAAAAAGCAGGAGAAAATATTCTGGACCGAGGACTAGGTAAAGAGGTAGTTTCCTGACTTGACACCACAGGCACGGTCCAAAAATGGCTGAATCAGACCACATCAAAACTCAGCTCTTGCTCTGGGGAAGACTCTGCAAAGCTGCAGGCTGGGAGAACATATTTGCAAACCACATATCCAACAAAGGGTTAGTATCTGGAATATGTAAAGAAGGCATAAAATTTAACAGTAAAAAAAATCCAAACAACTCAATCAGAAAATGAGCTAAGGACATGAACAGAAATTTCATCAAAGATAATGCACAGCTGGCAAATAAGCTCATGAAAAAATGTTCATGAAAAAATGTTGAATACCATTGGCCATTAGGCAGAGCAAACTAAACCACAGTAAGCTCTCGCTGTGTACCCTGAAAATGGCCAAAACGAAAAACAGTGTTAACATCAAATGTCGGTGACAGACATTGCTCAGAGAAATGTAAGATGGTGCAGCCCCTCTGGAAAACAGTATGGCAGTTTCTTACCAAAGTAAACATGCCCTCACCATACGATCCAGCAATTTCACTACTGGATATTCATTCAGAAAATTCAAAAACTTAGTGTTCACACAGAAACGTATATAGAAATGTACATAGAAGCTTTATTTATATTAATACTAGCCCCCAACAGAAACAACTCAAATGTCCTTCGGTAGGTGAAAGGTTAAACAAATATTGGTGCATCTATATTTCAGAATACTAATGAGCAATGAAAAAGAAAAGGCCATTCAACAAGTTGGGCGGATCTCAAGGGAGTTATGCTGAGTGAAAAAAGGCAGTCTCAAAAGGTCATCTGTGGTGGGCGCGGTGGCTCACGCCTGTAATCCCAACACACTGGGAGGCTGAGGTGGGTGGATCACGAGGTCAAGAGATCGAGACCATCCTGGTCAGCATGGTGAAACCCCATCTCTACTAAAAATACAAAAATTAGCTGGGCATGATGGCGTGCACCTGTAGTCCCAGCTACTCAGGAGGCTGAAGCAGGAGAATGGCTTGAATCACCACTGGGAGGTGGAGACTGCAGTGAGCTGAGATTGTGCCACTGCACTCCAGCCTGGTGACAGAGTGAGACTCCGTCTCAAAAAAAAAAAAAAAAAAGTCATCTGTTGTGTGGTTGCATGATTCTATTACATAACATTCTTGTGATGAAAAATTTATAGAAGTGCAGAACAACAGACTAGTGATTGCCAAGGATTAGGGACAGGGAAAGAGGGAGTAGCTGTGGCTATAAGACAGTAGCATGGGATCCTATGACAGACCATTCCCGGTAGCTGCCTGCTGTGATGAGGGGCTCCCAGCAACATGGTGTGGGTCTAGGGGCTCCAGATCCAAGGAACTGGCAACAGGGCGAGACTCCATCTCAAAAAGTGTGGTGGTGTCATAGAAGGTACACGTGATAAAATTACACAGAACTAAATATACACACAGAAACATACCATGAGCACACGTGAAACTGGTGAAATCCAAACAAAGTCCATGGATTGTATCTAGCTCAATGTTTTGATTGTGACATTGTGACAGTTATGCAAGATGTTGCCATGGAGGAAAGCAAGAACAGGGTATATAGGGTCTCTCTGTATTACTTCTTACAGCTGCATGTGTGCCTACAACTATCTCAAAGTAAACAGTTAGGCTGGGCACTGTGGCTCACGCCTGTAATGCCAGCACTTTGGGAGGCCAAGGCAGGTGGATCACGAGGTCAAGCGATCAAGACCATCCTTGCCAACATGGTCAAACCCTGTCTCTACTAAAAATACAAAAATTAACTGGGCATGGTGGCGCACGCCTGTAGTCCCAGCTCCTGGGGAGGCTGAGGCAGGAGAATCGCTTGAACCCAGGAGGCGGGGGTTTCAGTGAGCTGAGATCGTGCCATTGCACTTCAGCCTGGCCACAGAGTGAGACTTCGTCTCAAATAAAATAAAAAAAAAAATAAAAAGAGTGGAGAATTTTTCTAAATTTAATACTAAACACACAAAAAAGAATTCAAGTAGTCTGTGGAGAAAATCTGTTGGATGGAGGGGCCCAGCGCTGGATTCCCACAACCACTTATTTATGGCTTAGTGTGGTTTGACTCTGAATCCCACAGAAGGGCAGGGAGGAGAGCGGCCCCAAGTGTGCGCAGCATTTGCGGTAAAGGTCCTGGTGGCCACTGATTCCCCGTAGCTGCCTGAGGTGGTGAGGGGCTCCCAGCAACATGGTGTGGGGCTGGGGGCTTTAGTTCCAAGGAAGTGGTGACAGGGCGAGATTCTGTCTCAAGAAAAAAGGTTCAAAAATGAGTTATAAGAGAAATGACGTCCTGTACACAAATGTTCATAGCATAATTGCCCACAGCTGGAAACCCTGCAAATATCTGACAATAGGTGACTAGGTAAGCACTTACGGTATATTCAGACAAAGGAATACTACACTGCAATGAAAAGGAGTAAACTGAAGACCCACGGAGAACCTTGAGTGAATGAAAGAAGCCAGACACAGAAGAGTACGTAGAGTCTGGTTCCATTTATATGAAACTCTAGAGGAGACCGATCTAATTTGTAGTTTAGATGGGTGGTCGTCTGCAGTGGGAGGTGGGAGGTTGACAAAGCAAGGGCACCACGGGCCCTTTTTTCGTGGTGGGAATGTTCTCTATCAGCATGGAGGTGGTGGGCACATGTTTTGATGCAGTAGTTGAAGCTCATCTAAATGTATGCTTAATGTACACAGGCCCACATATTTGTCAAAATCCATTGAAATGTACTTTTAAAATGAGTGCAGTTTTTGGATACAACTGATATCTGATTAAAAAGAATAGGTTATCTAAAATTCAAGAGGGAGGTTTTTGGCCCCCTTGCTGGCCCTGGTTACAAATGTCAGTTTTAGAGCATAGTTTCCCACGTTTCATTGACGACTGGATGAGAGTTATCTCTTCAAAGATTTCTCTGTATTTTGTAGATAAGTTAACTCATCCCAGCTGGGCCCTAACCGTCCCATCCACTGTGACTCATATGGCTAATTATCTACTGAAAAGTGTCCACAGGGAAGAGACTTTTGGCAGTGGAATTATATACATCAGTTTTTTGAGGTTAGGCCTTACTCTTGTTTATGTCTCAACTCAAGCGGAGTTCCTTTAAGATGAAATCAAGATGTAATTTAGATGATGTTTTACTAAAGTGTAGCTTGCTGCGGTGACGATGGCAGGCCCCGCTTGGATCTGCCTCCAAGAAGAGCTTGCTGGAAAGCTGGAGGAGCGTGCTAGCCAGTGTAACTGCCAGAGGAGTTCTTCCTGCTCCTTTCACAAAGAAGGACCTTGGCATTGCAGTAAAGAAGGAGTTTAGGAGACACGAGGCTGAGCACACCACGTGGGAGCCAGAGTTAGTACCCATATCATTCTCCTCTAAAGTTCCTAGGTTAGGGGTGTTCAAGGGGAGTTAGGGGGAAGGGGTTGGGGTGGCCAGGCTTGCTGCTGGTTGGTTGGGGTGGAGGGATTGAAGCTGTCCTCCTGAGGGCTGCATTGCTTCTGGGTGGGGCCCTGGGAGTGGGGTTTGGGGTAAAGCCAGGGGTGTCAGACATGAAAAAAACAACCACCACCCTGAAGAGGTATCTCCAAAGGCCAATCCATAATACAGCTGCAGGAGCAATTGCGGAGGTTGCATATCTTATAACATCCTGAATAATTGCTTGCCGTTCTGAGTAGTGTGGTGAATCTGGTGCCATCCAGCTCCATCCCACCGTGGATATGAATCATGTCCTTGTCCAGCACATCCACCCCGTGTAGGCTATGCCACCCCCTCGACCCGTGACTCAGTAGCCATCTAGGTTATCAGATCGGCTATTGCTGTGTAGCAGTGCTTGTAAACCCTTATTTGACTTAATAATGCCCCCAAAGCCAGCGCAGTGAGGGCAGCCTGTTTTTGTAATTCTTCTGTTGTGTTATTAGCTGTTGCTGTCAATGTCATATTGTTCCTAATTTATAAATTAAACTTTATCATAGGTATGTATACATAGGAGAAAAACGTAGTGTGTATAAGGTTTGGTACTATCTGTGATTTCAGACATCCACTGGGGTCTTGCAATGTATCCCCCTTGGATAAAGAGGTCTACTCTATGTCCAGTAGAGGCTGTGATACAGAGAAGCATTTTCACAGGTGGTGGAAAGAGATAAGAAGCTAAATGCAGACAGATCTAGCAATGAAGGCAATAGCAAGAACAGAACGTTCCTCTCCTCTCAGGCCTGGAGGGATCAAGTGGGAGGAGATGCAGTGCACCCAGGACCTAGGGCTGCCTGGAGGAAGCTGGAGTCATTGCAGGCCTGTCTGTGGGGTGCTAGAACCCCAGAGGGAGAGATCGGGGAGCTGGAGCTGTGGGGGAGGTACAGCTACTGCCGCAGGTGCCACTTAAGCAGAGAAGCACACACACACACACACACACACACACACACACCCACACACCACACACCACACACACCACACACACCACACACAGCCACACACACACACACCCCCACACACCACACACACCACACACAGCCACACACACACACACACACACCCCCACACACCACACACACCACACACACCACACACACCATACACAGCCACACACACATGCACACACCCCCCACACACCCACACACACACCACACACACCATACACACCATACACAGCCACACACACATGCACACATCCCCCCACACACCCACACACACACCACACATACACACCACACACAGCCACACATACCACACACACCACACATACCCACACACATGCACACACACCCCCCACACACCCACACACCCACCACACACAGCCACACACACCACACAGCCACACACACCCACACACACGCACACACATACCACACACCCACACCCGCCCCCCACACACACCCACACACACCCACACCCGCCCCCACACACACCCCACACACACACCACACACAGCCACACATACCACACACACCACACAGCCACACACACCACACACACCACACAGCCACACACACCACATACACCACACACCCCACACACCCACATCCACACACCCCCCCACACCACACACACCACACACCCACGCCCATCCCCCCACACCCACACACACCCACACACACACCACACACACACCACACACACCACACACCCACACCCATCCCCCCACACCCACACACACCCACACACACCACACACACACACACACCACACACACACACACCACACACACACCGCACACACCACACACACACCACACCCACGCCCATCCCCCCCCCACACACACCACACACAGCCACTTCTCGGGGGAGCACAGTTGCACAGCCTTTTCTTTCTCCCTGCCAAGAAGACAGTGAGGGGTAGTGGAACTCCCAGGGTCTGCAGGATTGGTGGTCCGCCTTCCGTCTTGGTGGGACCAGAGGTTGCATGCCCACAGGTAGGCTTCAGTCCAGGACGTGCTATGTGTGGCTCACCTATTTTTTCACTATTTTTGAGTTAGAGACTTGCATGTCAAAATCTAAAAAATTCTCATAAGAAGGCAGATATCCAGCTTTTCTTTGAACACAAAAGATTGGACGGCACTGGGCCTACGTGTTTTCATTGCGACGGCTGGGTGGAGCCAGCAAGTTGAGCACACCCTTTCCAGTTTACCACCACCTCCGCCGCTCCCTATAGTATCACGCCCGGCCCGCGTTCCTCATTTAGATTTCCTGTCTGGTTCCTGAAATATTTGAATTTGGGAGTACCTAGATTCAGAAGACCACTTCCGTTTATAATGAGGGCGATAACTGTCTCTTCACAGCGATGCTTCCTAAGCTGAGTTCATCTATGAACACTCTGTCAAGGCTTGCCACATCCATGTGCCAGCTCTGCTTGGTTAAAACTTTAAAACAGATTCTCTTAGAGTTAAGGCCCATGTTACTGGTTTCCTAAGTAGTAATGCCCATAAGACCAAGAGTTTGGTTTGCTCAATAGGTTTTTCCTAACACAAAACAAAACGCTCAGAGATCCTCTCTTGCACTCTGGTGACATCGGCACCTCGATTCGTGTTCCCAGGCAACACGATTCATGTGCCCGGGAAGACCGACCCTGCCTTATCAGTGTGGCCATCCCTCTCCCCAAATGTCCTTGCCTGAGTTACACTTTACCAATCCTAGGCCATCTATGCTTCTGCTGAGCCAGGCTGCCTTTCTTGTGATTCTGTGAGTGGCCTCTGAAGTCCCCGTCACTCCAAGAGCTGCCTGGTTCTTTCCCTTCCTGAGTCCTGGTTCTTCCACAGCTCCTTGGGTTCAGGACATCCTCAGGTTGCTTAAGTTTGCTCAAGTTCATTTCTGTTACTTGTACACAGAAGCCTTTAAACAGTTGAAGCTGTAAGTCCTTCATCTTGGATGGGGTGTGTGGTGGGAGGTAGGAATATGGCTAGAGGGCTAGACAGAGGTTAGGGATGAGAGGGTCTCCTGTGTCACTGTAATAACCTACCCTGGGCTAGCATCACTGACTCCATCTTAGAAATACCCTTAGCAACCAACAGTCCTGGGAACCTTCTCCCCGCTGGTTACTAGCTAACTTGCTTGTTCTGCTTCTGTAAAATTCCGCTTCAGCCAGGCCCCCTCCCCTACCTAAATAAAGGTATAAAGGGAAATCAAGCCAATGCCTAAGCGTTAGCCGTTTCTCGGTCGCTGGCTAATAAAAAGTCCTTCTAACTTGCTTGGTTACTATGTCACTCTTTTTTTTTTTTTTTTTTTTGAGACGGAGTTTCGCTCTTGTTACCCAGGCTGGAGTGCAATGGCACGATCTTGGCTCACCGCAACCTCCGCCTCCTGGGTTCAGGCAATTCTCCTGCCTCAGCCTCCCGAGTAGCTGGGACTACAGGCACGCGCGACCATGCCCAGCTGATTTTTGTATTTTTAGTAGAGACGGGGTCTCACCGTGTTGACGAGGATGGTCTCGATCTCTTGACCTCGTGATCCACCCGCCTCGGCCTCCCAAAGTGCTGGGATTACAGGCTTGAGCCACTGCGCCCGGCCTACTACGTCACTCTTAAGGATCTGATGATCAGTGTCGTTGATAGAGTATTGGTAATTTCCTCTCTCAAGAAACCAATAACTTGTAGGAATCGTCGTGTTATGCCAGCATAGATGGAAGTAGGAGTAACAACAGCAGCAACAATAACAATGCCCACATTCAGCAAGCCTGTGCCGTGAGCCCGGCACACATTTAATGATCATAAGAACACCTTGAGGAAGCTGCTCTGATCTAGCTATTTCACAGGTGAGAAAAATGATATTCAGAGAACTTGAGCTACACGAGTAATGCCCCACAGCTGTAAGTGATGGAGTCAGTGCCCAGCCCTGGGTTGATTCGACAGCCATGTCCACACTCTTCATGACTTACTGTTTGCAGGCTTTTGATGCTGAGTCATTTCCTGTCTTTTGGTGAGTTAATCCCAATCCCTTCCACCTTCACTTACAGGTCAAGTGGCTTTGTTATTCTTGGATTTCCCTTTGGGTTCTCCACCTTTGCTCTAATATAGCATCCTGAATTGGACACAGTGTTGTGAGAAGGGCCTACAAACTGGCTTGCCCAGTGTGGCCAATTTCGGCTCCCACAATGATGCTGTGTGTTCTCCTTCTTAACTAGGTGGGAACCAGCCATTGCACAAGCAGCCTCCACCCTTCAGAGGAATGAATTCCTCTCCATTTCGGCCAACACCACGGAATACACTGGAAAGAAGATGAGAGGTTGGTGTTCTGATGTTACTAGGCCCTCGTTTTCTCTGGCTCACTGGCTTTTAGAGCTGGAAGGGCCCTGTGCATGATGTATTCTCTAAACCCGTCCTAGAGCAAGCAAGAAGGTGGGTTGGTCATGCTGTCCTCTGGGGCAGGCCGTCCCAGTTTACACTCCCACAACAGAGTATGGGAATCTCTGCGTATGCTGGGTTTGTCCCACAAAGGAAATAGATGAGGGAGCACAGACAGTGAAGGCCAACCAAATAGTCAACCCCGCCTCTCACTTCCAAGCCTTCCTTGTAGTCAAGTTGCCATCACATGGCTATCCTGATCAATGAAATGTGAGTGGAAGTGGTATGTCATTTCCGGGCAGAGGCATTCGAAAGGCATTGTACTTCGTCCGGCTCTCTCTCTCTTTTCCTCTGCCATGAGGACTTTGGAGACCGCAGGCTCCACATGACGTAGCTGTAAGATGGAGGAGGCCACTGGCCTGCTCAGGACTAACTTGAATGAGTATTGTAGCTGGTCTTCAAAGAGGGCCTCAGTGAACTGCATCTCCTGACAGTCACATCCTTGTGTCCTGTCCTCTAGTGCTGAGTCTGAACTGGCCCTCTGACTCCCTTGAACCAACAGTATGTGGCAAAAGAAGACCTGGTAGCTTTTTACTTTGGGGAGCCTTAATTTGCCTCGTGAACTGTGGCCGAACTTATCAAGTTGGAAGGGAGAAGCCCTGAGAGTACATGGAGAGAGAAGATGCTTAGCTAGCTTAGTGTTTTTGCCATCCCTGTCAAGGTGCCAACTGTGTGAGTGAACTGTCTTGGATGTTCCAGGTCGGCTGAGGTCTGAGAGGACTGCACCACCAGCCAACATCCTGTGGAGCAGAAGAACCATTGGGCAGAACCCACCTAACTTACAGATTCATGAGAGATAATAGAATGGTGGTGGTTTTCTGCCACTAAATCTTAGAATGTTTTGCATGTAGCAATAGACAACCAATGCAGTGAGAGAGTAGCTGGTGAAATCTTGGCCACTATGGCTTGGGGGTTTGTCTGTTGGAACAGTTAGTGTGTATTTCCTTGAGCTGGCAGATGACTAGTGCATTAGACTAACCAAGAGATAGCCTTGAGCTCAAGCAAAGGTATAAAGGCTGGGAGAATGTGCAGACACAACAGTTGTGCCCCTCATTTCCTGACTGAGTAGAAAAGGAGAATGAGAGCAGAGTAGTGGCAGTGACTTTGAGAGTCCCAGCCTGTGACCATGAGTGGGTTCATGATTTTTAATGAGGGCTGGGGACCAGGAACAGGAGTAGGTCTGCTAGAGGTAAGAAACAAGAAAACGAGGGCATTCGAGTTTGTATTTAAGGTGCTGATGGGATCTCAGTAGGAAACTGACCATCAGGCAGAGGGCATTTGACTTTGCTGCTCAGATGAGGGGCCAAGGCTGGACATAAGAGGGGAAGTGAGAGCTCACTCCATGAGAGAATGACACCCATGGAGAGGACGGAGGGAAAGGGAGAGACCAGAGGGATAGTCATGGAGAATGCTTCCATGGAATTGGCACCTGGGAAGCTAGCAATCATGGAGGGGGGCCAAAGAAGAGCTGAGACAAAGAGATGATTCCTCAGAGCCTGGGGTCAGAGAATTTCACTTAGTGAGGGGGAGTCAGTGTTATCAAAGCCCGTGGTAGTGCTAAGAGGGGCACTGACAGCAGAATCCGAGGCTCAAGCCAGAGGCAATGGTGAGCAAAAAGTATTAGATCTTCATCTATTCATCTGTCTATCCCTTCATTTGTCCATTCATTTACCCATACCCATTTACCCATTCACCCATCCACCCTGCCACTCATCCAGCCAGTCACCCACCCACTCATTCATCCGTCTATCCATTCATCCATTCATATATCCATCCATCCATCATCCATCCATTTATCCATCCATCTATCCATCCATCCATCCATCCATCCATCCATCCATCCATCCATCCATCCATCCATCCATATATCTATCCATCCATCTGTCCATCTGTCCATCCAACAAATCCTAGTCAGAGCCTGCTGTGGACAAGGAATGGGAATCCTATTAGGGTGCAAAGTAGATGTGGCTCTGTCCTTTGTTGAAAACATTTAATGGTTCCCCTTAAACCCTAAGATGCTCAGATTTCATGATAAGTTCTCTCCTGCACATGAAAGGCAACGGTAAAGATAATAGTCACCATTTGAAGAGCACTTGTTTGGAACCAACTACCATTCCTTGTGTGTTATATACATTGTACCACTTAATGCCCCCAACAGCAGCAACATAAGGCAGGGAATATTTGCAGGTGAGGGGACTGAGATTGAGGTGACTGAGGCCGAGACAGGGTGAGCATCTGATCAGGGCATGAGGTGGCCTTGAGAGTCACACTCATATTGTGGGTCTTCAAAGCTGATCGCCAATGACCTATGCTCCTGTGAGTGCCTTACCCCATCACCTGGCCCTCCTCACTGCCATCCCCTGACAGGAGAAAGGGGCTCCCTCATCCAGATGTGGACATCAGAATGTAACTTCTTACAGAAGCAAAGCTCTGGCTGATGCTGAGGGGAACTGGAAAGGTGAAATGGTGGTATATTTCAGATACTTTATCAAAGAGAGACATCTGTGGATTGATTTTATGACCAATGCACATAGTTTCTATGGGAAAATGAGTTTCAAATTCCAAACAACTGACTTGGAAACACAGTTCTGGAACTAAGCCTGTGTATAAATCAGGATCTGTCTGTAACTGTAAAAATGGTTTGTTGTGAAAGTGGACCTAACTGGACTTTGCTTTTCTGACTCTTGTTCTTTCTCTTACTCACATTTTTCTTTTCATTATGCTGTGTAAAGATCCTGAGACTTCCTCTTCTAGCTAATTGGCAGAAACCACATTCTCCCCTAGCTGAGTATACATTTTTGTAAATACCCCCTAGAGGTTCATTTCATCGTGATGGAAAATGTAATTCTGTTTTCCTAAGTGACGGAATGTGTTTATCCAGGGACTCCAAGTGGGCTCGGGTGCAAGAGCCAGATGGCTCCAGATGTCCTCAGTGTAACCTGAGGAGCTGAGCCCAAAGGCCCTCCCTGAGCCACATGACATGCAGCGAGGGCTGGTGTAGACAGAGCTGTCCACATTGTCCACGTGGTTCTGCTCCATGGAGGCCTGGGATGGTGTTGTAGGCGGGGGAGGGCTTGCTCTCGCTGGAGCGGTGGTGGGGGCCTCCCAGCCAGATGTGAGTCATGCCTATTTTTAGCATGCCACTCACCCAGGTGGGCCCGGCGCCACCCAACTGCTCTCCAGATTCTGTGTCTCTATTTCCAGCATCGGATGGCTAGACCAGTCATGGATTTGGTGGCATTTTCCGGCCAATCCTTCTGTACGTGTGACTCTTAGTAGGGTTGGCAATGGAAAGAAGGAAAATTAGCCATTTTGGGAACTGGTGACATTATGAGAGTGACATTTGTTTTATGGTTCTCTGGGCTCAGTAAGCTAGGGGCGGGAGTAGGGATGAGAAGTAGCTGTGCACTTGCCACCACCCAACTCTTCTGCAGGGACAGAGGTGACTGATTGGTGATGCCCCCATGTGTGAGCACAGCTTTAGAAAGTGCCGTGGTCAGCTAGACAGGTCTGTCTCTGAGGGGTGGTGAGGAAACCCCCGTGGCCATGCACTCCTAATGTGCCATCCTGGGTTGATGGGAATGGGTACATGACTTACTTATTGTATAGAATTTACTTCTATCTGCCTTCTTGGCAGCAATTTGTTAGTATGGACAGAATATCTTAATTTAAGGTTCCTCAGAAGCGAACTGAGACAAGAATTTGAGTGTAAGTTGATCTGGGAGGTGATACCAGGAGGACCTGAAAGTGGGCCAGTGAGATAGGGTGTGCGAACAGGCAAGTGGCCACCGTGGCCTGCTAGGGCTCAGTGTCATTGTGGATCTCGTGGGGACTGGGTAGAGCATGGCCCAGAGTTGTCCTTCCTGAAGGCTGATGAGATGGAGTGGGAGTCCCCATCTTCAGCTTCTCACTGAGTGAAGCTCTGGTGGCTGATTAGCACCTGGCGCCGTTGTCCTCTCTGCATGGGGGTCATGCATGCTTTTGTGTTGAGAGAGAGCTCTCAGACTGAGCTGCAGGGGAGCTGGTGGGAAGCTAGCGGGAGGGAGTTCTGGGTTCTGGGTGGGACACAAGAGTGTCTGCTATGGAAGGCCATTCATGACAGTGTGGTGAAGTGGAGAGAGCACCCACTGTGGACTCACAAGTACTGGTTCACACCCCTGCCTCACTGTGCCACAATGGACAAGCCACCCGACCTCTCTGGCAGCTGTAATCCCTGCCCTGTTACCTCAGGGGCTGCTGTAAAAATGTTACCAAACCAAACTTGGGGTCTACCTGCCCAGGGCAGTAAGGCCTGATAGCCACACTGAGGTTTTGCAGCGGGAGAAAGGAGGGCGTTTATTTGCAGATGCCAACCAAGAAGAATCAGGAAGTATGAGCCCATGTTCTCAATGGCTTGCAAAGCAAGGGTTTTTGAAGGCAGGGTAAATTTCAGGAAAGCAGAAGTTACAGGCAGAATTGTAAATCAATACATGGAGGTTGATATGATTTGACTGTGTCCCCACCCAAATCTCATCTTGAATTGTAGATCCCACAGTTCCCACATGTTGAGGGAGGGACCCAGTGGGAGGTGATTAAATCATGGAGGTGGGTCTTTCCTGTGCTGTTTTCGTGATGGTGAATAAGTCTCACGAGATCTGATGGTTCTATAAAGGGGAGTTTCCCTGCACAAGTTCTCTGTCTTTGCTTGCCACCATCCATGTAAGATGTGACTTGCTCCTCCTTGCCTTCCACCATGATTGTGAGGCCTCCCAGCCGTGTGGAACTGTGAGTCCATTAAGTTACCAATCTCCTTTATAAATTACCCAATCTCAGGTATGTGCTTGTTAGTAGTGTGAAAATGGACAAATACAGAGGTTATACATTGATTTGACATAAAAAGACGAATATCTTGAAACCTGGGGGCTTACAGTTCCTATAGGCCCATTCAAAAAACTCCCTTATTTGCAATTGGTTAAGGAAGTGAAGCTTTGCCTAAAACCCTGGGGTCAGCAAAAGAGAATGTTAAGATCTAGCCCGTGGTCATGACTTCATCCAGGTCTCTGTGGACAGAGTTCAGTCCTCATCTCCTCCTTATCTGAGGCTGTATGCCAGCAGATCAGTTTGGTGGGGATTTGAGTTTCTGAAAAACAATTCAGAGACCTATGTTAAGATGCTGTCTTAATAGGAATCACATACTGTGTGGCTCTAACTTTCCTGGTTATTGTTTTAAGTGGTTAATACCTTCTTACTCATCAGGCTGCTCATTTACTTCTGAGGGTCAGCTGGGTGCCTGCAAATTCCCTTCAAGGAATTCAAGGTTTTCTTCTATTTCCATGCTTGGAGACACCCGGCAGACCCCTAAGAGAGGTCCCTGCTCTGTCTCAAGGATGAAATGAGGTAATGTCTATGAAAATGCTTTGTTAATTTTAGAGATCTCCATAAACGTCTGTGTGTAGATACCTTTTGGCTGCCTGTTTAACCCTGGGGAAATGCTAATTGTGATCTCTCAGTTCCCACCTGCCACACAGGTCGGGGGCACATGGCCCATCCTGGCCCAATGGAGTGTTCCCTCCTTCCAACTGCAGTGATCTGCTCACGAGGAGCACATGACCCATGCAGGGCAGCCAGGGTCTCCCTTGGGATTGACATGTGGTTCCTGGGAGACAGAAGGCCTCTGGTCCTTGCCATAGGAGGCTGTGTGGGGCTTATGGTGGTTACTGTGTTACACTGGGGAGACCTCCCTGGAGAATAAATCAAGGAGAGCCAGTCAGGGATGGCTGGCAGACAGAGAGAGAGAGAGAGAGAGAGAGAGAGAGAGAGAGAGAGAGAGAGAGAGAGAGGGAAAGGAAGAGGAAGAGAGAGAGAGATGAAGAGAGAGAACCCCAGCAATTTTCTTCACTGGATCCCTGGACCTAGTTGTCACCAAATCTGGCACCATTCTTGAACTGTCCTGCTGGGTGAATCTTTTTGCTTTTGTCCATCGGAACTGGGGTTTCTGTGATTTGTGATGGGAACCCTGTTAACTGAGGATAGGGACATTTGGAAGTGACAGTGACCTTGCTGCACACGTGCTGGGCTTTACTTGCTGCTGTTGAGGGATCTCAAGGCAGCTGCTGCCTGGCCTGCAGCAGGCATTGAATGGCAAAGGGTCGCACATTGACCAGATTTTCCCCAGGGTCAGTGGGGATGCCTTTGCAACTTGTTGGCTAGGATTCTCCCCTCCCATCCCAGCCCTGAGGAGCCATATCTCCTTGGCCCTGACCTACCCTTGGGCAGATTCCTCAAGGCCCTTCTACTTTCCCTGCAGGGCCTCAGGGTTACTCAGGCTTGATGGTGTCTGTGATTCATAGCCCCGGGGAAGAACTGGTGCCCGCTGCTGACTTAACAGGCAGCCTCTCCCTGGAGATGCATTTGCAACTTCGTTGTAGAGTCTGGTCTCGCATTTTCTTCCCCAACTAACCCCAGTTGGGGAGGACAGTGAATGAGCAGCCCAGACAGCAGGGGTCAGACTCGGTGGGTTGGGTGAAATCTCTCCACTGTATTGACATTCATCCTTAACAAGCAAGTGAAATTTGCTTTTTATTACATAATCTATCACCATTTTCCTTACCAGCAGATGATGTTTTCAATGACTAGTCTGCCACCCTCAGCTTGGAGTTTAGCAACATTCCAGAATGATGGGCCAAGTTTAGCCTATGATCTCTCATCCCTCCTAGTGCCACACGCAGGCCCACATGAAAGGGCTAAGCTGGGGTGGGGTCTCCGTGCCCTGGACACTGTGTCCTGCCTGTGACTCCTGTGTCTTTCCTTTCTCTTCTCCCATTGCCATGTGACATGCCTTCCTTCCCTCTCCTCTCAGTGGACACACTCCCCCTGGGGCCGCCTCAGGCACCAGCGCCTCGCTCAGAATGTACTGGTTATTCCTAAGGAGCCCTTACCCATATTCCCTTCACTGCTGTCATGGGCATTGAGCTGTGGTCTGGCCTCCTTTGGGGCCCACGTTCCTGTGGGAAGGAAGGCCCCCTGTCCCTGTAGTACAGAGCAGCCTGCCTGGCACACAGTAGGTGCTCACTGAGTGAGGCTAAGTGCCACCACCTGCAGGCCACCTCCCTCTTCCTCGCTCTGTATGGGACTGGTTTTCCTGTATGATCTTGAGAGGAAGCAGTTTGAAAAGGCCGTAGGGGAGTGAAACTCCCAAGCCTGGTCAGCAGGAACTGGGGTGCTCAGGAGGAGATGGAACCAGCCACATGAACTTGCTGTCAACTCTCGGGAAGAGGTGGGGGTTGTGCAGTCCGAGAGCCTTGAACTAAGTGCGCTAAGTGTTTGCAGTGATGGTTCCCAGCTGTTTTTCATTTTCGCAGGGGACTGAAGAGGAAATGGGTCTCAGCTGCAGCAGGAGGGGGTCTAGTATTTAAAAAGTGAGGGAGATTCTGTTGCTCCGGGGACAGATCCTGGATGGGGACCAAAACACAGAGACGCATCTTTAGGACCATATGATGTACGCTCTGAAGAGAGGGGTCAGGAGCCCCAGGGGCACAGCGGGGAGCAGGATGCCTTATCCTCAGTGTGAGTGAAGGAAAGTCAGCTCCCTCTTCCTCTCCACATGCCTCCGCCTCTGGACTGCATGCTGGGCGGGTGGTGATAGCAGGACATGCTCGTTTGGGCAGAGGTTTGGCTGATCCTTTTTTTTTTGTTTTTGCAAAGGGCTTGTGTGTGCCTCTGAGGAGCTGCAGGGGCCACAGCAGGACTGGATGACGCCAGAAGAAACAGCTGTCGATCTGCTATGGTGTACCCGGGGCCCAGGGGAACTCAGGTTTTCGTCTGTGATGTGTGCTGTGAGGCTGCATGCATCCCCACATAGCAGAGGGAGCCAAGCACTCCACAGGCTCCTCGTGTTGTTCTCCACAGCTCTGTGTGCTGCGCACCAACTTTGATGCAAATTTGGCCAGCTGGTTTTTGAAAAAGGTGCAAAAGTCATCCCATGAGGCTTGAAGGGCTCTCATGTCAACAAATGGTGACAGAGCTGGTGGCCATCCGCCGGCGGAAGAATGAACAGGCAATCCTATACAACATTAACTCAACCAGGATCGTGAACTTGAATGCCAGGCGTGAAACCATGAAGCACTTAGGAAAAGCACGGGAGAGAATCTTTGGGAGCCAGGAGGAGGTGAGGCATTCTTGGAATCAAAAGCACAACTCACAAAATGAAAAAGTGATAAAGTGGCTTCATCCCTGTGGCTCCGGGAAAGACCCAGTTTTAAAATAATTGAAAAGAACAGCTTCAGAGAAGGAGAAAACATTTGCTTTTGGCAGGTCCAACAAAGGACTTGTCTCCAGGACACGGAGAGAACTCTCTCCATGTGGAATGTCAGCGGAGTGACCTCCCAGAGGGCCGGGATGTCAGGCACTGCCCTGACCTCTGCAGCTTCCTGCAGTGAAGGAAGCATTTGCCGGCCCTGTCCATCATGGTGGCCGCCAGCCACACGTGCCTCTCCTCCCTGGTCACTGGGATTCGTTTACGGGTGGGCATGTGGCCCAGGCTGGCCCCTCACAGCACCTACTTTTGCTGCCCTGTGGCCCTGGCCTGAGACCCAGGGTGGGGGACGTCAGTGCCCACCTGGCTGGGCATCGCGGCCTCCCGTGCAGCTTGTGTGCCCGGCCGGGCAGCCCCATGCCTTGCGCCATTGGCCTCACTGCCGTGCTGTCGTTGTGCGTAGTTGGGTGGACGAAGGCTGAACTGAGGAAAGGGTGAGGCTTGCGTGGGTGTTGAAAAGGTGCTCAGCCCCTTCTCTCTTGGATATGGGCTTTGTGGCTCCCTCTGCAGGCTGAGGAACGGGCTTGCTGGACAGTCAGCCCCTGACCTGTGATTATCGCCAGACCCTGGAGGCCTCCTAGGGTCTGTTCAATGGCCAGGTTTGTGCTTTTTCCCAACACCATGATGCCTGCTTTAACAAAGTATTTTTAGCAAAGATGAATAGTGTATACGGGCAGTATGAAAACCGTCTGAATTTGTTGGACTTTGGGTTTTGGAAAGATACTACGTTATCCGTGGGAGATCAGAACTCAGAGGGCCACCGCCACATCACACTGTCACGTGGTCCACGGCTATCAACCCATCATGGGCCTGGCTGGGGTGCTCCTGCCTCCCTGGGCCTGCCTTTCCCTTGCTGGTGCCTCAACACCGCAGCTGGAGTCGTCCCCCTGGACCAGGGTCGGACCTTGTCTTTCCTGCCAGTGAGCCCTGAGGCCTCTCCTCACACTCAGAGTGATGGCTGCAACCTAGTTCCACTTTCCCACCTCACCTTCGAGAACTTTCTGTGTCATGTCTCTAGTCGGTCCTCCCTGGGCTCAGCTTCTCCCTCTAAAATCCCAGCTATCCCCTCACACATCCTCTGCCCCTCCCACTTGATTTCGTCCTGGCTTTTCCCACTTTAACACAACAGGCTTTCCCTCATGTGTCTGGATCCCCCTCTAGAGTGGAACCACCCTGAGGGCAGGGGACTTAGCCTGTCTCCTGCCTCCCGTTTCCCAGGGCATCAGAGAGCAGAGTCCACTGCAGGGAAGCTTCTCAACGCAGGCTTGGCGAATAAACGATCAAATGGAGCGCGTGCACATGACATCATGCAGTCATTTTTGGCACGAGAACCCACTGGACCCGCATCAGAAGGCAGGCAGGACGGTGTGTTCCCCTGGCTGGAGAGCTTGAGAGCAGCCGGTGCTCTAGTGAGTGACACACCAGACGGGCAGGGCTTGAAGGATTTGGTGTGATTCATGCAAACAGCATCAGCAGCAGCAGCAGAGCTGGACAAAAGCCGTCGACGGCCTTTTCAATAAACCAACAAGACGACCCTTGGACCGCACTTCCTTCTGAGCTGACTTCTGTAAACGCGGGCAGGTCCAGCCTGCGTCCCTGCTGGGGAAGGGGCTGTTTCAGCCTGGCTTCTGCCAAACAGGAAACACTTGGGCTTCCTGAAAATGCTTCTTATCTTTGACAAAAGTGCAAACTTAGAGGATCTTGATGTGGACATTGAGCAGTTTGGGGGAGCGGCCAAGGATTCCACGGAGGCCCCCAGCACACAGGGCCTTTCTCCAGGCTCAGGTACTGGAGAAACGTGGCCCTCCTGGGAGTGGGGAAGGGAGGGGAGCGCGGTGCGGGGAGGCACTTGGAGAGGGTGAGGCCGCATATCAGACTTGCCCTCACCCTGCTGTGGTGGGCAGAGAAATAACAAGAAACAGTTGAATAAATACGATTTTCCAAAATGGGCCACAGACATATGTTTTTCCACTTTTTTTTTTTGAATGAAGATAAATCTCTCCATCTGGGCATTCTGAAAGGGGAGTTTTATTTTCCTTCTTTTCTGAGTGTTCTCTTCTAGCTTGGTTAAAACCCTGCTCAGATCAGGAAATATTAAGGACTGGTGGGTGTGCTTGTACTCAGAACCTTTCAGATGTGGGAGAGGGGCTGCCTGGACCCAGGCCTTTGTAGAGAGATGGACTGGAGTCACCGTGGCCCCAGAGGCTGGGCTTCTGCCCTCCCTCCCCACATGAATTCTAACGTCTCGGAGAGTCAGGGTTTGCTGGCAATGGACGAAGCTGTGATGGGGGTCCTGAGCCCCTCAGCTCAGCTCCCCTTCCCATTTTCTCAAGCCCTTGCCTGGGCAGGCCTGGAAATACTTTACTGAAGTGGCCCCTCTGCTGGCCCAGAGAGACCCATGTCTGCACCCTGTCTCGGAAATACTTGGGATTAGATGTGGGTCTTAAGCTCCTTGTCTCAGTCCCCTCCTTGAGGAAGGTCACCTGAAGGTCACTGCCTTACATCTCCGGCTCCCCGAACTACTGGGACATGGTCAGGCAAGGAGCAGCTTGAGGTGCCCCCGACTTTGGTGATGGATATTGCGCCACAAGCCCAGCTTGCTGCCTTCTGGGTCCTGTCCCCTGTGTCCTGCCCAGCCTTGAGGCCCTCACTCAACTTCATTCCCTGCCCAGGCAAATGGCATTGGGGATAGCGGTGCTCAGAAGTTCCACGTAATAGGACAAGTTCCCTGGCTGTCCTCAGGGAAGGGGTGGGCCCCTCGGGGGCAGGGAGTTTGAATGTCTTCTGGAGCCAGGATGCAGGGGAGGACTGGGGGATCCACCTCTGCCGTGCCTGTGAGAGTGCAGGAGAGGTCCAGGGCTTGGTGTCCAGTTCTTGTCACTTCAGAAGGGCAGGGGTCTTGACCTACATTGTCTCAGGCTGCATCCTCAGGGCTGAGAACAGCTCAGGACTCGTGGAATGAACCGGCAAACAATGAACATCCCAGCACTTCTAGTTCCAAAGTGAGTCTCGACTAAAAGAAAGCTGCGTGGATTCGAGAAAACACCTTTGGAACCTCCAGATGAGGCTCGGATTGGGCATTACTTCCCAGCGAGTCGTTGGATTCCAAGGCCAATCTCTTGACTGCTTTGTTGAAAAACGTGGGAACAGGTGGTGGAGCGAACACTGTGGAAGGGGTGGCTGCGGGCGAGCATGGGAAAGCAGCCTGATGAACTGCGGTCTGGTGGGCTGCTTTTCACTGGGGCATTTATTACAAGAGCCGGCTCCTCGCACCTCATCCTCAAACTACCCAGGCTGCTGCCATTTCTCCTTCTTTGAAAGACGCTTATTCTTGGTGAGAAAGGTGGTGTACACACGTCGAGCTGCCAGATAAGCCCGGGAAGCAGTGTCTCCGGGAAGAATCTGGGAGGTCTGTGAAACCCACCTGAGGCAAGAGGGGCAAGAGGGGCAAGAGTGAGGAGGGAGCAGAGAGGCCGTGGAGTATCCCAAAGTCCAGGGGAGCCCCAGCCACTGCTGCACTCTGCTCTGCCAAAGGCTGAAGATGAAAGCAGCCACCAGCCCGGGGGGCTCTTGTTCTCACTGATGGGTAACCTGGTCCTTTCGTTTTCCCTTCAAAGGCGCCGTCTCCCCTCTGGAATAATGAATGCACTGAAGCGTCGTGGAAAGGTCTTCAAACTTTGTCATCGTTACTAGCAAATGTGTCTGATTTATTTTCTTAGTTGAAAAGATGAAGTCTCTTCATGAAATGCACAATGTAATGCTGTCTTCATCGTGAGCCTTCTCAGGGGCTGTTTCTGATGACAATGGTTTCGGGTTTTCCTAATGAATCTGTTCCAAATGTTCATCTTTATACTTTGCTCTAGAGCAAAGAGGGCTGCTATGGTCAGAATGTTTGCGTATCTCCAAATTCTTGTGTTGAAATTGTAACTCCCAAGGCAATGGTATAAGGAGGTGGGGTCTTTGGGAAAGGGATTAGGTCATGAGGGCAGACCCACACGAATGCGATGAGTGCCCTCATGAAATGGGAGCTCATTCATCCCTTGCACCCTGTTGGGGCACAGCTGGGAGGCGACATCTATCAGCCGGAACATGGGTCCTCACCACACCCCAGGTCTGCTGGTGCCTTGATCTTGGATTTCCAGCACCGAGACCTGGGCTACACGACGTCTGTTGTTTATGGGCCTCCCAATTTATGATATTTTGTTACAGCAGCCTGAGATAAGGGCTCCGTTTGTACAACACTGTAAAGTGTTAGCAACTTGATATCTAAGGTTGGGCACTCCTTGATGTCTTTGGCAATTTATGTGTAATGATGTTAGACTTTCAGCTACAAAATCTGAATTCTACGTTGTTAGCAAAAAAGATGGTTGCTTGACTCGATATTAAATCTGTTTGTCCTGCCTCTCTGATTAAGAAGTATTTTTATTTAGAAAGCCTAACAAAGCATAGGCATCACACCAGGCCCGCTCCTCCTCTGACAGGAGGCTGTGGCTGGAGGACTGCCATTCTTGGAACTGTGCTGGAGTCTGAGGCTCCTCCGACCCGGTCCGCTGGACTGGGGGTTGTTCAATATGTGGAAAAAATGCAGGTTTCTTCTCAAAAAACGTGACCCACATGGCGGTCATTGGTCAGCATTCACTGAAGCCCTGGGAAGGGCATGACTCAAGTTGGCGCTGGGGCCAAACAGGCTCTGTCTGTCCTGCTCTGTCACTTTCCCTGTGCTAGGTTACCCCAGGAAGATGCCATGCTCCCTGCCTTCCAAGCCTTTGCCATGTTAGGGCTTCCCATGAGCCCTACCTGGGTAGAGGTGGTGATGCCCCAGGCCATGCGGAAGGGGTCAGGCAAGGCCACGTTCTGCAGGAAGCCCGGTACCCAGAGAGTTGCCTGGCAAGGTGGGGCCAGAGGGAGCTGCTGCAGCTGGTAGGGCCCGGAACCCAAGTCCAGGGAGAGTGCCAGCCAGTTGTCACCGAGCCACACCTACCTGCCATCGTGCTCTTGGGCCTACCCAGGTTGAGGGGATTTTGTAAGCCCACCCACCCCTCAGGAGCTCTTTCCTTCATGGAGCACCCGAGTCAGGGCTGCCACAGCTTCATCTGGGAGGGCCCAGATGAAGCATCTGCACTGATTGTTGGTGAGTGACTCTGGGGCTGTGTTCTTTGCAGCCACTTGCACTTATGCCAGTGCCCCTGCCCCGGGGCTCCTGCGCCTGAGCACAGCACCAAGTGACCCAGGGACTCTCCCCAGTGCCAGAGCCTGTGCCTCCTGGGCTGAGAGGTCCTCCCCACCCAGCCTGCCCAGGGGGTACGCAGCCACTCCCACACCATAGCATAGATTTTGTTTCTCTGCAGAAAAGCAAAACCCCCATTGCTGGTGCTGGCGTGTGGAAAGACGTGAAAGCAAGGAGAGTTTAAAAAAATGGCAGGTTTTCTGAGACAAAATTGCTTTATGAGTCACTTTAATCTTGATGCATTCATTATCATCTGAAGTTGCCACTCAGATGATTGCTTCAGTTACGTTTCATGTGATACAGTGAATTATATGCTATACGATTACATGCAAATTTCTGGGATTCAAGAAAGCATCAGATGCAACAGTTTAAGTGCCCAGGGTCAAAAGCATCTAACTTTTTATGTGTGAGTCTTTCTTTTCCCCAGGGACCACAGGACCCTCAGGAAGGGAATTACTTTCTCTGTCTTTGTGTCTTCACAGACACAAAGGAATTATTTTCTCTGCCTGACCCAGTGCTGAATATTTAGTAGGTACTTAATAAATGCTTATTAAACAATTCAGAAGCTACGGAAGCCTTGGTTTTTGCTCTGCCTTCAGTGTTCTAGTGGAGTGCTGGGGTAGACAAATGTACCCCCAGACAACAACCTAAGGACATCTGGTAAGCAGCCACGTTAATAGTTGTAAAATATACCTGTGTTTCCCCATGCTGTGGTGAGTCCCCGTTGCAGTGATTTTCTTTCCACTCCACTAGCTCCGTTTTCTCCCAACTCTTCTCTTCCCGGTGCCCCAGATTCCCCAAGGCTGCTGCATATGTTGGGATGTGTGGGCTGGAGACTGAGCCAAGTGTCCAGCTGTCCTCTGGCTCCTTTGATCTGTTCTCCAGGTGGGCATTAAGGCCCCCACTGGACACTGTCCCATTCTTCACCAGTGTAGCCCTTTCCTCTGGACACTGTGGTCACTGTTGACCACACCAGCTGCCTCTGGCTGGAGACCTGGAATAGCACTGCCATCTCTGCAGTCCCCAGGTGCCCCAGCCAAGCTGCTTTTCTGAGAGCAAAGGGATGGTACCTCCTGTTTGGGTTTGGTGTCTGTGCTTTGTCGATTAATGGCTGATGGTTCCTGTGGAGTGCGGGTGACCCAGGAGGTAGCCCCGAGGTGGTGAGGGGTGGTGCAGAGGAAGGAGGAAGTGATGGGCACAGGAGCCCTAGGGGCCTGTGGAGGGGGTGGGGCAGGAGAGCTGCTGGGAGGGAGGCAGGATAGGCAGGAGGCTCAGGAAGGTCTGGGAGTTAGGAGTGTTCTCCTCTGGGCAGTTCTGAGAGACACAGGCATGGACATTCCTGCTGCTTCCAATAATGTTCAGGCAGCTGGACTGTTTCCTTGGATGGGACTGTGTGTGGTATGGGGTGCATGAGGAGGCTCTCAGTCCTGTTTCAGAGGCAGGAGGACAACTGACTTTGAGGATAACAGTGTCCCAGGGGCTAGATCTCAGGAGGAGCCAAGGGCAGGGTCAGGAAAAAGGATAACAATTTGTGAACTTCACCATTGCACAGTCTTAGACACATAAACAATTTGGCTTGTTGATTTCCAAAACATGATCCGAGAGGACTTAAGATAGCCACACTCAAGCTCTAGGGCGTGGTGGTAAAGACCTCAAGTCGAGATGACAGATGGCTCAGTAGCTGTAGCTCACCTGTCTGCGGCTCCATTAAATGCA